GTGAAACAATTAGTTGTACTTCTTAAACTATCAACATTAGATAGAGCTCAGGCTATGGGTTAGTAAATAATGTATTTTTAATAACCTTTACAACTACTAAGAATGTGTATTTCTGGTATATACTAGAATTAAACAGTAGCAAAAAAAAAAAGACCTCACTGCATTTTTAAGTGTAGCTTGACATTGTCATTTTGACTATTAAAATCAAAACTGATTCAAACGAATAGTTTATTTATCTAGTTTAGTTGTTATACAATTAGAGAAAATTCTGATATTTTTTGTTAGAGAGTGCACTTGTTTCCTTGAGGATATGTACAGTATACTTGTACATATTCATGTACATTGAGAAATCTTCAGATTGTGTAGATACAGCTTGAAATTTATTTCTGCACTGTGAATATTAAAGCTGATGCATCAGATAAGGAAATTCTATGTGATGTTGACAGTTTAAGAAGTACAACTAATTGTTTTACTTTACCCATAGATTGAGCTCTATCTAATGTTGACAGTTTAAGAAGTACAACTAATTGTTTTACTTTACCCATAGATTGAGCTCTATCTAATGTTGACAGTTTAAGAAGTACAACTAATTGCTTCACTTTACCCATAGCCTGAGCTCTATCTAATGTTGATAGTTTAAGAAGTACAACTAATTGTTTCACTTTACCCATAGATTGAGCTCTATCTAATGTTGATAGTTTAAGAAGTACAACTAATTGTTTCACTTTAGTTATGAAATGCAAAGAACTTTCTATAGCATTGTAGGAAATACAGAACAAGACCATCAATAAATACCATCTAACGATTTAACAATCTTCATGGAAAACCATAACGATTGATGTTTTAGTATACGAAAAACTGTAGAAACTGGTAAAGCCAGCGATTATTAGCAAAATTAAGACTAACTATTACTAATAATGTCCTGAAATCAGTTCCAAATTTACTTATAAATATTTCATTCCCAGAGTGCTTGTATCATACTCTTATTATAAATTCTACCATTTTAAAACTTTAATGCATAACTATTAAATTTCAGATGTATTTCCTCTACTTAGTTCACTCTTGGCCTTTATTAACCTGTATCTTAGGTAGGTAACTTTTCTGATGATTTACAGTCTACTGTTGATTGTTTTTGTCTTCTCACATGGATGTTGGATCTTAGTGACCATTAAAATGATGCTAACATCATCAGCTCAATATTCACACACAGTTAGATTGGAATAAGTATACACTGACATTTTTTGGTCTAAAGTACAGAGCCTAGAACAGTTTGTGTCAACATATTGTCTAAAGTACAGAGCCTCGAACAGTTTGTGTCAACAAGTCTAAAGTACAGAGCCTATTCCAGTTTGTGTCAACATATGGTCTAAAGTACAGAGCCTAGTCCAGTGTGTGTGTCAACATACGGTCTAAAGTACAGAGCCTAGAACAACTTGTGTCAAAACAGTCTAAAGTACAGAGCCTATTCCAGTTTGTGTCAACATATGGTCTAAAGTACAGAGCCTAGTCCAGTGTGTGTGTCAACATACGGTCTAAAGT